ACAGCCAGTTCAAGTTGAGTATATCAAAACTGACAGCAATGAGGTTGAATCTATTTGGTTTTAGTTAGTGGTTATAAGGGGAGAAGGCTCTTAATTGGATTTTATTACAGATCACCATGTGAAACTGATGAAATTAATGAGAAACTCTCCAGTGAGATAAAGAGGTTATAATAATGGGAGATTTTAGGCATATAGATTGGGAAATGTTATAGTCAAATCATGAGGAAGACAGGTTTTAGAAACTTTTCACAATGATTTTCTTCAATAATTGGTTAGGGAACCTACAAGGAACAATGCAATTTTAGATGTTTTTGTTAACTTTCAATAAAGAAAGGGTTGATAGGATAAAGAGTAAGGAACATCTGGGTGCAAGTAATCATTGCTCAAATAGATTTGATATTTTGTTGCATATGGAGATAAGGGATAATGAGAGTTTGGTTCCATGTTTCATAAAAGCAAATTTTGAAATGATTAGACAAGAATTATCTGGTCTGAACTAGGCAATTGATTTAGTTGGAGATACTGATCAAATGTGGAAAAATTTTAAAAATAGATTCTTAAATATTCATGTTCTTTATAGTCAGAGCAGGGTGGCTGCAACTAAAAAACCAGGTTGTCTGACAAAAGGTATAGGGAATAAAATTAAAGAAAAACATTTAAGTTGACTGCAATAATGGGAGATATGGAGGATTATAGAAGATCAGAGAGTTGGTCAAATGGAAAATTAGGAGATCAAAACTGTATATTGAAAAAGACTGGCTGAAAATGTAAAACTTCATAGTAAGGATTTCTTCAAATACATTAAGGGTAAGCAAAATATTAGGTTGGGAGTAGGGCCTTTGGGGGATGATATGGGAAGGCTAATACCTGATGATTATGAGATGGCTGGATTATTCAATTCTACCTTTCTTTCAGTTTTTATTAATGAATATTTAAGCAATATTCCTCATCTTGAATAGCTGCTAGATGGAAAAATATTGAACAAGATGATCACATTAATTCTGAGTTTGTTAAAAAAACTTGGGGAGTTTAAAGAATGATAAACTCCTGGGCCAGATAATATTTCCCCATGAGTGTATTAGTTTAGGTTTGGTGTTTTTGGATTTTCAGAAAGCATTTGACAAGGTTTCACTTAAAAGGCTTGTTAAAGTTATCTCTTGAGGTATGGGGGATAGGTTGGCTCATTGTATTGAAAACTGGTTTGATGGAAGAAAGCAGAGCAGAGGGTTGTCATAAATTGAGTTCAGTAAAACTGGGTTAAAGTCACTAGTATGGTACCTCAGGGCTAAGTTTTAGGGCCTTTGCTTTTTTCTGATTTACATCAATGACATAGATGAAGGAATGGCCAATAAATTACTTAAATTTATTGATGATATTAAGGTCTTGGATGTTGCTGCTTTACAAAAGAATTTGGACTATTTAGGGAGATGGGTGAATAAATGGCAATTACTGTTGATTTGCATATATTATAATTATCACAATTTGAATTATGATTATTATTTTGATAGAAATAACCTTAACAGTGTCATGGGAGAAAATTATCTTGGTGTTCTGGTTCATCAGTCTCTTAAGCCATCTAGGCAATGTGCTGTTGCTAATGGCAATCTCAGGGCAAATATGGTTTTAGGTTGTAACTACAGAAATATTGAATACAAGTCTAAAGAGGTTATAATGGATAGGTTGCATTTGGAGTCCTGTGTTCAGTCTTGGGCTCCTTACTTTAGAAGGGACATTGAATTATTGCAAGGGGTTCAGAGGAGGACTACTAGGATGATACCTGAGATGGAAAGGTTGTTATACGAGGATAGGTTAAGATCTCTGAACTTGTTTTCTCTTGAAAAAAGAAAAATTAGAGGGGATCTGATTGAGGTGTTTAAAATTGTTAAGGGAATTGATAGTGTTGATGTATCATTTTTTTCATATTTAATGGTAAAAATAAAACTAGGGGATGCAAGCATAAATTTTGATAGGGTAGGAGTCATCTTCAGCCAAGAATTGGGTTGTCTTCAAATATGGTAGGTATGGTTAATTTAAGGAAATGCTTGATAAATATTTGAATGATAAGAGTTGGGTTTGAGTGTGTTTTTTCAGTATCTAATTTAGTGGATAGGATGGCTTAGGTGGACAAAAAGATCCTTTGTTGTTCTTTAATATTAGATGTTAATGATATTTTTACTTCATATGGTTTATCTCAGTAAGTCATAGCACACACACCCTTTACTTCTAAGGAAATCATTAATTCTCCTTTTAAACTCCTGTAAAGTGCTGGCCTCTATTACTTGTAATTGCAACACAATTTAATAAGTCAGTCATCTAGTTATAAAATAACAGTCTTAACTGGAGTCTGGCCTGTATTTTTCTAAATCTTGTACTTTTCTCATCTTGTTATCTTCAGGATATAGCACAAAAAGTCAGAAGCCTTTATTCTATAATACCCAAAATAATCATGTAAACTTCAATAAGGTCACCTCTTACTTTTTCAAGAGAAAATAAATTAAGAGATCTTAACTTATCCCTATGAGAAAACCCTTCCATCTAAAGAGTCATCGTAGTAGTCCTTCTCTTGTACCCTTTCCAATAAGTCAATATCCTTTCTTAGATAAGGAGACCAAAACTTTACACAGTATTCTAAATTAAGTAAGACCTAACTAGTGATTTTGATAAAGAGAGAATTATCTTTATTGACTTGTAATCAGCATAAATAAATCCTAAAATTCTATTAGCTTTACTACTAGCAGTGCAGCACTGCTTAGATGACTTGTGTGACTTATATACCACTTTACAATCCTAATGAGTGGATTCCTATCTGAATTAAATGTGTGGTCCAAATTATGCACATGCCTATTTTTATTCCTAAACCATCAAAGGAGTTTTTATACTTTTTAAGTCACTATTCTGATTTGCAGTTTCCAATATCATTCACTTCTATGTGCACTCCAAAGATATAGTGCTCCTTGGTGCCAGCAGCTAAACTGTCAACACCTTATAATGTCCTGTACTTTAGCACCTGTCCAAACCTTTTTGGACAAGGGCCGGGAGTTAGATCTTTTTAGGCTTTGCGGGCCGGGAGGTCGTGGTAAAATTAAGTAGGGATGCATACATGATCAGATTGGCTTTTGCTCAATTATGTTTTATTTTTTGTTTTTATAATATTAAAAAATTATATTATTACTTTACTAAACTATTGGTGGGCCGGATAAACCGAAGTCGCGGGCCGTAGTTTGGATACCCCTGTCCTAGAACGTGCAGAAACTTGTTTTTGTGTATCTAATGGACACATAGCAAGTTACAACAAATAATCCACGATTTCTTAAAACAATTGTTTTTTCATACAAATATCGTACTTCAGTTTTTTATTTGAACTTTCATGCATAATTGAATCAGTGAAATTTGCCCTATATTCTTATTGTGAAATAAACTATTAACTGTATAAAAGTTATATTTAATCAATTTAGGAGGATTAACAATGTGAACTGTAAGATTAAAGTAACTGAAATAATGGAAATGGCTGGAATAAAATGTCTGTAGTTAAGCTTTCAGAAATTAATTTTGTTAATATAATTTAATCAGAGGTCAAAATATAGTTTCAGTCATATCATTTAAAAATGTGTTTAGTCTGCTACTCCCAAGTTATTTGCAGCCTTGCTCTGATTATTTTTGGCCCATTCAAAACTTAAAAAGTTGTATGATTTTAGAGGATTGTTTCAGCTTACAGAAAGTATTCCTATCCATATCATAAGTTACAGCAATGCATGTTATGTTAAACCTATCACTTCTTAACCAGTACATTGAACTGGTACTACAACTCTATTAACTAAGAGAAGACTTAAAAAGGCAAAAAAAAAGTAAATTTACTCCCATGTTTCCTACAAGTTCGTACAAAATGTCTCATTAAAATGATTTTGTTATCTATGAATGTGGCATCAAGTTATTTGAAGTGTGAATCAATGTAGAAAATAAAATGTATTATTTCCATATTTTGCTTATTAAGAGAATGTTGTTAAGAGAGTGTGAGTGAGTGGTTTGGCATTAGAAGGTCACTAAAATAAGATGTTACCATTGTGTAGATTTTTTGTTTTAAGGACTTCAGAAAAATATTAAATATAATTGGATTTCAATTTTTTTTAAGGCAAAGGATCTTTTATAATTTTGAAACATATTTGAAGACCAGATAGAAGTGAGTTGTCTTGGTTAGTCAGTGTCTTAAGTCCTTCCTCTGATTTACTTCTCAACATAAAGACAAAAGCAGGAAAGCATTCATATGGATAAAAAAAAAAATCTAGATAATGCTTTATGCAATATCAACTGGTTTAGGTAACTAATGAATATGGGACAATATTCTTTACAAGTTAAATTTCTTTGTTTGTTTTTATCAATATTTAAATATATATGTACAACTTATACTAAAAATAAGTAAAATAGCTTTTCCTCCTGACCGTTAGTTTTTTTGTTGTTGTATTGGTGTATTGATAAATATAGAATGTCTGTGTGTTTTTATGGTTTTCATTTACATAGAAACCAAACTTCTATATTTTTTTAATGGTGACATTGACCTATTAACCCCCAAATCAGTAGGGTTCCCCATCCTTAAGGGAAGTGACCTGTAAAGTTTGATTAAAATCTGCTCTCTTAGAACTCTAGTTATCATGCCTACAGACAGATGGTTGAAAAATATCATCATGTGACCTTCTTAAAACTTTTTATGGTCAGGGAAGATAAATAATATTTTTTTTAATGCCTTCAACATTTAAAATTTATCCTGGTAATCCAAAAAATATTTAGACCTGAGATTAAAGGATGCATACAAAAATCATACACATATTTATTTTACAGATAAATAATTTTGATTATATTACATAACCTTTTCTCTTGATAGAAATTTCTTTGTACCTATAACAGGAAGCATAAAATTATACATAGACCACATATGCACATGCATCTTCCCAAGGCAACAGTGTGGTTGTGTCATACAACTATATTTAAAATGTTTATCATTTTATGTAAATGATTATTTTTTTTGTTAGAAAGTCAATGCTTTTTTTACAAGTTTATTTTTAGTGTTTTTTTTATTTTAGCAGCTAATTAGAGTTTGGTGCCATGGAAAAAATTCAAATAACAACACAAAGGTGCCTGAGCTGGAAGAAAGGCCAGAAAAGCAGTACCATAGCTCTTATCATCAAAAGGAAAAAGGCAAAATTTATGACAAAAAACCATTTAAATTCCAATGTCAAAAAGGAAAAGCATATTTTTGGTGTTCCTGTGGACACAGTAAAAGACAGGCAAGTTTACATTTTGTCATTTATATCAATTTAGCAAATACCAAATCATCTTCAAGGGGTAAAAATGTTTTATTACAAGCATACACTTGGCTCTAGGACTGGAATTCCTTAATATGACTATGCTTTGGCTTTTATGATGGATGGTATTTCAGAGTTTCTGTTAAGGCATAAAGAAAGTTTCAGAATAGTTCAAAACAGTCTTTCTCAAGAATAAAGGTGGAAATGTCTAAGGTATTTCAGTCTTGCAATGTCTGTTGTGCCTAGAATGTAAAAAAAATGTGTTATGTCTCCCTTGTTCATTTATTTAAAAGTTTTGTTATTGTTATATAATAACCTAAATTGACTGCTTGTTTGTTTTTAAGTATAAAACTACACAATGGACTATCTGTATTATACTTACATATCTAGTTAAGTATGATCTGAATTTCTGGCATAGGAGCAGATTTGATATCCCAGACATATTATAATACTCTGAGGATCTTTAACAATATGTATTTATATTCATATTAAAAGCTGTTGTCATAAAAGTATTTGCTAATTAAATTTGAGTCAATATTACAATGGGTATGTCTTACGAGTTGTTAATAACATTCAGTATCTGAAAATGTGAATTTTGTCCAGCTGAACTTAATTAATTCAATAAAATTCATTAGTATGCTTTATCAAGATTTTTCTCATAGCATTTGTACATATTCTTTAGAAAATGGAATAACTTCTCTGCAATTTACATGTACATATTCATGTATAAAATAATAAAAACATTATTCTCTAGTTAAAACATGAAATAAAGCATCACATCAAGATGATTAGATATGTTAATAATTAGCCGTGTAAGTAACATTACATTACAAAAAGCTGGTTCAGTCAACTTAAGTATGTAAATATTACACAAAACTAGAATACACACACATTGGAAGAAACTTCTGAGTTTATCACTTATTGTCTACTTATCATTTCTAAAGAGGTAATAAGATTTCTAAATTTTCTTGTGTGTGCATGTACAATAATTCCTCTTTGCTGTTCATTTCAGCCATTTTGTGATAAAAGCCATGCCAGTCCATACATAAAGATCAGCCTTCGACCAGTTAGGTTTGTAGCAGAAGAAACAAGGGAATATTGGTTCTGTAACTGTAAGCAAACCAACAACAGGCCATTTTGTGATGGCTCCCACAAACTTCCTGATGTTCAATCTGCCACAGCAACTGTGAAGAGCTAGATTAAACTGCTACACTTTAGAGATACAACATGCATGTTTTAACTGATAGAAAATTAAACAAAAGCTAGTCCCAATTGTTAATAGTAATATACTGAAAACCAGATAGGAATTTTCTCTACACATGAAATCATTAAAGTGTGAAAATGAACAAAGTTTTATATGATGGCATGTTTAGAATAAAATATTGTGAAGTAGTAAACTGTTACTCTGACTTCTTAGTCTAGTAATCTAAATTATCATCAAAACACAAGTTCTCATATTTCTCCTGCTCACATTGTGCCTTATACAACATCATGATGGTGAAACATGGGTTTTTTGCAAAAACTTCCAGTTTTATTAAAGCTAGTAAATATTTTATTTTACTGAGAAAAAAAAAAGGTACATACGTTACTTTGTATTTAAGATAGTTTTAGTGAAAAGTCTTGTTCCAAAATTTTGTAATAAATAATTAATTTGATATGTAAAAGTCTGGTCTAAACCAAAAATAATAACTAGAGCACTGTCTTTTGATCAATTATTATGTGTGCCTGTAAAACATTAGTTTCAACAGATGGTTTATTTACATTTTCAGGTTTATAATTTTCATGACCTGGAAATGTTACTTTTTAAATCTCATTTCACTCTTGGGACTTGTGAAAACACATACCATCATAACTTATGTGTGTGTAGGTAAATTTCTTTGATTTAGATCATCTCATCAAGAATAAACTGTAGGAAGAAAATTTTTTGTATGGCAAGTTTCAAGAGTTAAGGAATTTTTAAATACATGTTAGTCCACGAATCATGTGTTAATGTATTCTATTTTCAACACACACTCTCCTGATAATAATATTTTTGCAAAAAGAGGAGCTAAGAATGTGACATTTGACTCTATGTTGAGTTTTCTGCATTTCTTGGTTGTTTCTTCAACTTTTATACTTTTATGGCGTGTTAGGAAAAAAATCTCAAACACTAGTAGAAGTGGTTCACACAGTTTCAGAAGCTGGAAAAATATATTTATGTAAAGATTCAACTGCTGGGAACAAAATTAACCTCCCATGAGTTATTGTCATCTTAAAATAGCACCTAACATACCTTATCAGGTTTCTCAAAGTGATTTTTATTTGACCATTTAAAATGTTACAAGACACATAACCAATACTATTATTTACATCACCTGTGATAAATACATAAACTGTACAATAACACTACTGAAGCAGAACTTCAACAGATACAAAACTGGGATGCAGACTAATTACAACGTAAATAGTCCTCAAACCTTAACTTATTTTCATTTACTAACACAAGCATCTCTCTTCTGCTCACATATTCAACAGCATTTGTTAGAAAACATTTAATTTGAGCAGTTTAAAAAGTAAAAAACAAAAGTTAAACTGAACTGGTGTAATATATTTAAGAGTAGATTAAAATGCTGACTTGTAATAATTTCTGCTTAAGTGATAGTATTAAAAAAAAGTGAATTTTAATGTTAAGGTTATTTTCATATGGCACCTACCTCAGATACAGAAATTCTATTTGCTATTATTTCCTTCCCATATCTGATAATTTTCACATTTAAATAACTACGATGAACTGGATATTGTTAGTCAACTGAAACTTTGCAGGTTTACATATTCATTGAGTATTTATTAAAAACTAATATTTACATAAAAATCGGGTTTCTTGCAACTTCCATAAAAAACAAAATAGAGATCATGATGGGCATTTTTATTAAAACATTTAAGGTTAAGGCTTTTAATACTAAGTAGTTTTAAAAATATCAGATCAATGAAATGTGTTTTTTTTTGGGGGGTAGCACCTTCTAAACTCTCCAACTGATAATTTAAAAGAGGTATCTACAGACAACAAGTTTAAAATGGCTAACTACATTAAAAGAAAGGCAATATCTGTGAATTGTTTAACGTGTATTCATAAATCTAACTGCTAAATCTGGACAACAAATATGGTAATTCTTTTAACAAGTCTATTCAAATGAGTTTTATCCAAAACTACAGATTATTTTGTTATTTAGCTGTACCATGTTGGAAAATGTAAAACAAAGAATTAATGTTTAAAATGGAGTTTACATATCATGTATACAAGTCTTTTCTTCTACTGTTAAACAGGAAATTATACTGTCCAATATTTTATGAAGTTTGATTAAGTACGTAACAGTGACAGCAAGACTTTCTTTGTACTCATGGAAAATACTATTCACTCCCCAAGCTAAGAACAACTAAGCCTGCTGACTACTGCAAACTAAAGTTTTAGATTCCAGAAGACATGTAATACTAGTAGACACCACAATGAACCACACTCAAAATTCTTAACAATTACACCATACACGGCATTATGAAAACTCACAGTTGAATAAAAATGATAAAGGCATAGTAAAAAAGTATGTATTCAACTGCAGGTCACTTTCACATAATGTTCTGTGTACCTGTAGTAAAGGCAATAGTAAAAAGAGTTTGTTTTATGCATTCTGAAAAATTATAAGGCTTACATGGTTTAAGAAATCAGAACTACACCACAGAATCTTTAATGTTGAGTAATAATAAATATAGTTTATTTAGCTATGATAATGCACTGACAGAATAAATAATTAATATAAAGTTTCCTATCAACAGATGCAACTTGTAATTCATTTTATGAATCTGAAAATATTTACTTGCCCTAACTCACATTGTGCAGCTACTAAACACGTATCTTGGAAAATCATTTATGACAAATGGTTAACTTTTTCATGCAAAACAACTATTTAATAATGGAATGGCTCAAGCAGATTAACACTAGGAGTTTTGTAGTAAATGTTTAACTAAACCATTGCTGTCAGAACTTGGTCCAATCACAGATGAGAATAATTAAGGCAAAAAGTGGTGAAAAATAGCAGACAAGTTCAAACATTAGAACTGAGAAGCTTAAACAAAACCAAAAAGTGCTATCTTTTAGTTGCAAATAAGTAATTATAAACTATGTAAATATGGTATTAGACTTATTAATCTTGATTTTTAAAAATATTTTCAGTGATCAATTATATATTATAAATAACTTGTAATATTATCACTGGGGTTTTATTTACAAGCCAAACAAAAACAGTTAATTCAGATTGCTTTTTGAATTTCTCCTGCTTGTCATATCACTGGACGTACTAATATGTTCCATTGCTAAAAGACTTAAGTGATTTACAAAAATATTTAAGTTTTTTTTTAAATCTTGTGTATGTTTTGTGTGTTGAAAAGTAGTTAATTAGCACAGGAATCAGCCAAGTTTTAATTCTGGCTGTCATCTACTATTAAAACACGATCACAATACCATGACCTAATCTGTCATTTGAAAGATGTAGTTTTACTTAAAAAAAACATAATAAAATTTTTTTATTTAGGGGTAAAGAAAGTGCATGTCTGACTTTGCAACTGGAACTCTTCCTGTATGTTTTTTTATTCTGTTATTTACTAGTCTATTTCATCCGATGATTAATAATATTTCCTACTAATTACTTCCTAACGTTGAAGTTACAGATTTTATAGAAACCATATAGTCATTTTCAACAACATAAAGAAATGCAAGTGTCCATCATATAGTGACAGGAATGAGGTATTCTTTAAGAGGAATGAATATCATGCTTTATAAGGTTAAACAATGGGATTTTAAATTGCATCTTAAATAGAACTATCTGTATTTCCAACATGAATGCTATTGTTTGTTTATGATATAATTTTAACATAATAAAGTAAAAGTATTTGCATGTAACTTTTGTAACTGATTAAATGTATTCTTGTACATTTCTAATTAGATCCATTATTTTAAAAAATGTACTTACAATTAGAATCTCTAGAACTTTAGTACTAAAATGAAATTTAGCAATTAAGTGGTGAAGAAAGAGCTTACTGCTGGAGTATTGCGTGTCTCACATTTTGATTAGTACAATGCTGTTGCATTAGGATCTATGATAAAATATGACACTAGTTTCAAGAATGTATATATTAGCATACTGAGTTAATATTAGCATGTACTAGTGAACCTTGCGGTTAAACTATGTTTGGTTAAACCACACAATTAACATCAGCGGGCCAAGTCTGAAGCTGTAAATGGCTTACAGCTATTAACACACAAGTTATAGAAATTTGAATTTCTTATAATTTTAGTATTTTCCCAATAAAAACAACAAACAAACTTGAGCATTAATAGAAATACTATTGATAATTAGTTGAAAATAACTACTAAAAACGTAACCCTCATACTACATGCCTTTAGACTAGCAGTAATGATCTGATGCACATGCAACAGAAAACTTCAAATCAAAACCACTTATATATGAACAATAATTTATAATCCCTTCTTCACTGTATGATTTTACTGATGAAATCCATTAACCTCCTAGCATACTGTTCAGGATGTACTGTTGAGATCTCTGCTCCTGAGCCATGCTTCACTGTCTTGGCTGCTTGAGCTGTCCTTTTTCTCATCCCATAATGAGTCAGGACATCAACCAAGGCCATAAAGTACACCTCCTTCTTTGGAGCTCCTGCAGAGAAGAGCAACGTACTCAATATTCAAGATTTATGAAGCAGCAACTTCTGTTTGGTAACAAGACATAGGAAAAATCACTTAGCTAATAATGATAGAAAAAAAAAACTTTAAATTTGAAATATTATTTTTAAAGCAATCAAGAAAAAAGGTATGGTAAACACCTTTTACAAGGCAATAAACAATTAAGAAAAAGAACATTTCAAATTTAAATCAACAGCCAAACAAAAATGATAAAAATATTTGCATATCTGCCTTGAGATATCACATGGAAACTAATTTACCTTCACAACTGTTGATGGCATAGATGTCCCTGTCTGGGTCAAATGGCTCAACAACAGGAGGAACAGCAGTCTGGGGTGAGTCAGGAGGAGTGGGCACTACTGCTACCAGGCCGCTACCAGCAGAATCTTCATCTTCATCTGTTGGTAGTGGCCCTCCATTCTCACCCCCACTTCCATCAGCCTCCATGGCTTCTGCCCGTTCTTGCTCTGCTTTTTCACAGTTGTGAACCCCAAGAAGAAGAGAATAGTCCATCACATTGAGTTTGCAGAGAAACTACAATAAGACAGAACTTTCTTGATTTAACAGTCTCTGCTATCATTGATTTTTTATCATATAAAAAAATTATTTTGTAAATCACAAGTCTTCTGCTGGCCATGAAAGAAGTTTTAATTACAATTTAATATTCAAACCACTTGTATGTTTACAGGTTGTATACATTTCTAATTTTGTATTGTCTTATATTTTATTAGTAAATAAAACTTGTACCCATTTCAAAATGACTATATACCAGTTTTGAGATGATTATAAGCTAATTTTATTTCAAAACTATTAGCAAAATTTTCTTCCGATTTTTTTTTCATGACATTTGTATTTGTTTTTTCAAGTGTCTGGGCCATAACAAGCTAAGTGTACTTAATTTCTAAATGCAGAAATATGTAAAGTCACCCAAAAAAAGTAATGCTCGATATATTCAGGCTTATATATCTATACACACACACACACACAGAAAGGTGTGAAGTTCTGGTTTGTACCTGACAGCCTGATTTGCAGTGACTTTCACCTTTTTTTTCGTATTTTAGTTTGTACTTGTTAGCCATATTTTTTTCTTCACATTCTTCAACTTCTAAACAAATTACTGATTACTTATGATTGGTGACCTAGTGTACAGTGTAGTTTACAGAACAGTATTCCTTCAGACTAAGCACTATGAAAATACTTAACAAAAGACAGGTTTGCTACTACTCTTACCAAAATCTAAACTGATACTAAAAGACATTCAAACACTAGAATACTCTTAAGATGTTCAGAGAGAACATGAAATACCTTTTGAATAAGAGTGCAGGACAATTATTATTATATTACTGAAGTTCTATAGCCAGACATTAAAAAAACAATACTTCTAAAAACTGCTCCAAAAAATACATGGAAAAATAATTCTTAAAATCTTGTTTTCAAATAAAGAAAAACATATTTTTCGTTTTTTTTTTAATCCAATTAATAGACTCAAACTGCATATAACACATGTAAAAATATTTTAATACTTATTTCTGGATAATGGACAATTTGTTTGACATAGTGCTTACTACACTGGTACATATCATAATTTTTTTTTTTAACAATCACTGACCTAAAGAGTGACATTTGTTTAATGATTGGTTTTCTGAACTGAGCAACAATAAAATAAGAAAATATCTTATTTCACCCTTTGGACATTCAATTAACGATGGTTTTAATTATACTATTATTTATTTTGAAACCTTAACGATCTGATAAAAACATATGATTTCATTTCACTGTTTATTTTTATTCCTGCAGAATCCATATTTCCAGGCTATTACTTATCTGTTTTTTTCAATTAATAAACACTTCTATTTTAATTGTTTGCTTTGAAACTTAAATGGATGGTGAGTTCCTGTATACGACAGAACAGTTCTTTAACTAAGAATGTCAAGATTGGAAGTTTTTTTATGTCTGGCTGTCAGATATAAAAGACCGTTTGGTGTAAGTATTATTAATTTATTTATTTTGTGAATGTTCAGGGTTACTGATGAGGAGTGGAATTCTCTGAAACTAGTATAACTCAATAACACACGTTGATCAAAGTGTAGATTGAACTTAGATTTTGAAAATAAACAATTTTCGGAATACTATGTTTGTTTAATATTTCATAATTGTTTAGTTTTTTCATAACAAGAGAGTTAAAAGCAATTATTTTAAAGGAGATGGTTATGACAAGTTTGGTTACATAACTCGGTAAGAATCGTACAATGTGTTTATAATTCACTGAACATCACATGCAATCCATTGATGTCGAAGATACAGATTTCTAGAAGGCCTAAGCGATAGATGTGTAAAAAGAGAGCCAAAAGTAAAGCAGAGTGAAAGAGAATTTCGGTCAAAGAAATGTTAGAAAATGTAAAGTTAACTGTCATACGAGTGAATAGCTTAAAGGTTGATATGTTAGAGTGAGATTAACAGTTTTCTGACATTTTAGGAGAATAAGTTGTCTCGTCAAAGGGTGTTTGAAAGCAATTATACCTGCCTGTGTGGACTTTGACAAAAAACAGACAAGTGTCAGAAGTTCAGAATACAAATGCGGTATCTCACGAGGCATGTGAATTATACACTGATACTATTGTGATAAAAGAAAAAAGAAAAGAGAAGGAATAAGAGAAATATACACTGATAGTGTTTAAGAGAAAAATAGTTTAGCTTGTCAGCTGAATTCTAAAGCAATTGAATTGGCCTAAGTGGACTTTTGAGAAGAAGAGAACTGTATAATATTTAAGATACAACCATGACATACATAGTGTAAAGAATATTTGTACATACTTTCAACTTGTTTTTAATATAGTACGTTAAAACAATTCTATATATAGACACACACACTTACATACTTGTTTGTTTGTTTGAAGTTAAGCACCAAGCTACCAATAGGCTATCTGTGCTCTGCCCACCACGGGTATCAAAACCCGGTTTCTAGCGTTGTAAGTCCGCGGACATACCACTTTGCCACTAGGGGGCTTTAAAAAGTAAGTTTACTGACACTGGCAGTAGAAACATCTGCTCCAAGTAACAACCTTTTTTTTTACTGACAAAATTATGTTTAAAACATAAAAAGATCAAACAATTTCATTAAAACCAAACCTAATGGTTAAAAACCTGCCATAAGTTTTGACTTGCCTTTTATATTTAAAGACATAAAGACATAAACACATTAAATTTATTCTGTTCCAACTGTTTTATAATTCTTATTGGTATTTAAAATAAAGAAGCCTTGTATATTATATTCTAACATTAAATTTTTAATGTTCAAAATTATGCAATTTGCAACATACTTTATTTTATTATTAAAATACTGCAGTGAGTTTTTCAACATTTCTCCAGTTTAGTTAGCACCATCATCGGTGGAACAAAATAAATGATCACTGTAACCTACATATTCAGTAACAATTTGTTATTTTAGTTACAATCCAGTAAAAGTTTAACAGGATACTCCTCAATTACTACTGATGGTGTCTTGAAATTTGATAAAACATGTCAAAGCATTGCATTGTGGAATATAGATAGCTGTAGCAGAAATATCCAAGTCAATCAGGAATGAGGAGGTCACTGAGAGAGGCTGAACTAATAATAACTTGGAGGTCAGGAGCTTAGGAGTCATATCAACATTTGCTTAAAATTAATTTTACAAAAAATCCCATAATTTTGAGATTTTTTGTGCCTTTTCTATTGCCATTTACAAGCTTTTAAAGTTTACTGATAAAATAAAGAATAGTGAAATTAGCTAATCCACTAGAGCCACAAAAATACACTCTCAAATAAAACTTGAATACAAAAGTAACCAATCTTCTGCATCATCACCATAAACAATTACAAACAATAACTTTTCATGCCTAAAACAGAAGTCTCTAGCCTCTTGGAAACAAAGATAACCTTTCCTCTTTATTCCAATAGATTTAGCTGTATTATTATTATCATTATTGTATATAAAACTATTTACTTGTACTCACTAAAATATTTCAAATAGATATTTTCTCTAGTAATAAAGTGATAATCCTTGCCTGAAAAACAAATTAAAATATAAAAATCAAAATACATTTTATACCTTCAAATACAATATTTTAATTTTACATTACTGAGAGAACAGAGAATAATACTGAGGAAATTGTCTCTGTAAGAATTATTATAACTTTATATTTCTAACAGATTTGTTAAAATTCTTACTTCAATATCATAAGACAAGATATTCATGATCTTTTCCTTGGCTTCTGGTCCTATGTGTACCACTTTTCCATCCTTGACAAAATCATTGTCCTTCAAAGTGACCACGTCCTTTCCCTGTAATCACAACATCAAGGTATAAAGTTTTCCTAAACTCAAGTAAAACAAAGACTCATTATCAAAAGTTACTTCTCATTTAGCATCACATGCATTGTTTAATATTTGACTAAATTTAACTGTAATCACAACATCATGGTATAAATAAAGTTTTCCTAAACTCAAATAAAATAGATTTCTTTTTACAAAGTAAACTCATTATCAAAAGTTACTTCTCATTTAGCATCACATGCATTATTTAATATTTGAATCTTTTTATAAAATAGAATGTACTTACCTAAGTAACCGTACAAGATAATACTTTATACTCATTTTTTTATACAAGTTCTTGGAAGCTATGTTCTGAGTAATATAACAATCAAGTACACTCTATTACAGTATTATGTTGAACTACACTTAAAAATTCTCTTTTTTTTAAAAAAAAAAACCTTTTATGATTCGGAGCCAAGACACTATGAAATAACCATTAATATTTTCTTGGCTAACCACATCAACTGATCCTCATACTTGAGAGAGGATTTCTGGAAGATGAACAACATATAAATTGTATAGTTTCTTGACTAGCATCAAAGAAGTACCCCCTCCCACTCACAAACAATAGCCACAGAGTACCACACTATACAAAAAGGCACTAGCCTTAAACTATAAAAAGTTGGAAAAGAATACAGTGGCTGACAGTTTCAATGTTGAAAGAGACAAAAAAAAAAAGAAAGAATGAATACTATTGAAGCAAAATAAAAAAGAAACTAATACTAATAAAACCATTATGGTGAAATTGGCATAGTAATAAAAATTGAACTTATTATTTAAAGTGAGATTTAATCTTTAAGAGAGGTATAAGAAAAAGCACAGTTAATGAAAAAAACGGGTTTGTGTTTTTCACTGGAAAACAAGAATTGATTATTCAAATCATTTGATATGTATTAGGTCAACAAGTATCATTAAAGATTTGCGTTGCATAATCCTCATGCTAGAAAGGTATCACACAAGCCTCATTAAGACACCAACATTAAACCATTAATATCCTTACCAAACCACTTACATTCACACATCAAACATAAATATGGTTTCCAATGTCAATAACAGCATGAGAAACTATTTGAGTCTTAACCCAGATACAGCAGTCATGTTTTTGTATCAATACAAGAACAAACAAAAGAAAAATAACAAGAAAACAATTTTTCCAGTTTTATGTATAGTCTTTCATTCACCATTAATAATCTAAAATAATGAGGAAGATATACTCTTGCAGCCTAAAATGCTAGATATGGCAATGAAAAATTTAAAAGAGGTGTTATGTAACACAACATATATTGACAGCAACACTATTCAGGAATTACCTAGATACCTGACTACATAGCAATATTTCAGATTTGGTATCAAAACGTGTTAACTTTATTATCAATCTTGACATATAATATTTTTTATCATTAGCTAGAATAATAGTTAAGTAAAATGACTAAAATAAGCAACACAACTGGAATATTAAATCAGTGGACCCAAAAGTTTAATACTCAGCTATTCAGATTCCCAAATGCTTTGGTGAGAAACAAGGAAATATTTATGAGTTACACCTGACTGAAGATTTTTTGTAAGTTTAAGTGAGTTTATTACAGATTTTAAAGTTTGTGAAAATCAGCATTTTATTATGAGAGGTGAGCAGAAAGAAACAAGACTTGACTGACATATCCAAGATTTCAATAATCCTATTCTTATACCTGCACCAATAATATTCATTGCTCGACAAGTCCAGAATTACAATGATCTAACTTTTACCAACAGTCTTTGACATCTTTAGGATCTCCATGGTATGTTTTAAAATTTTCAAAGGCCATAAGTAACCCAAATTCACAATAGTGAAATCTAAAGCTGATTTTACCAAAAGAATTCTGGATATGAATGATGATGTTAATAGAGCATTACACTCGGATCCCATTATACAGAGGTCCACTATACCATGTGTTCACACACATCTCTTGGTTCCCCAAAATTTTAGTAGGCCTACTAGTAGCATTGGCACCTTGGGATATATGTATAATAATGGAAATCAATGGAAAAGGCATGTTTGATGGCTCCTCACTCCCTACAATTAACAAAGCTATCACTATAAATGATACTTGTCTTGTTCATAATCATGGAACTCAATGGAAAAGGCATGTTTGATGGCTCCTCACTCCCTACAATTAGTAAAGCTATCACTATTGATGATACTTGTCTTCCTCAGTCCAAAATCCAACACAAAACTTAAAAATATAAGCAAAATGTACTAGCAAAGCAAGATGGGAATAGTCATGTACTTCTAGGAAAAATGGGAAGAACAAAATTGATGTCACAAGTTGCTTGTTTACTGTACTGTTTATTAAACAATGATGATGTGCAGTTTCTAATTTCATTAAATTTAAGATATCAGCATAAGTTGTCAGTTTTGGCATATGTTTGACAATCCAATCAGATTGGCACAATAATCGGTAATGGAGCTGGGCTCTGTTGTCTGACTTTGAGTTCCATTATACAGCAGTTCACCTATAAGGTGGTCAAGGATGTTGGCTCCCCTCATTCGTGCTATAACGGAACCCGAGTGTATATGTCCTCTGCTGGCTGAATGATGTGGTATGAATTTCTACAATAGATGGTGTTCAACATAATTATAAAATTGCAACTGCGACTGACATTTACTTTGAACAATGTACTATAATAAATGAAATTGTACATTTCAGATGAAGAGTCTTTCCCCACCCTATCAATAGTTCTATCTCAGCACACTATAATTTTCATATTTTTGGGTTTCATAACACTTACAGACACAGTGTATGTCCAGAAAGCAGCTAAACACAACTGGATTCATAATGTTACAACTACATTTAACCAAACTGGTATGCTGGTAAAATGACATTGTGGACTATAGTGAGAAGTAACACCTAGTTGTCCATATCATCTTCACTATTGGTGTACATTTGTTCCTAGTAATAAGGGTTGAAAATACTCCTAACAGCAAGGATACCCAACTAATAACCTAAGGCAGAGTGGTTATACAACCTTTTAGTGGTTTGTCTGTCACTCATAATAAAGACTAATTATAATTAATTGTAATTTTTAAAAAATGTGTTAAATTCTTCTGGTAGAAATTATTAGACGATGATAAAGGCCTGAAATTTGTGATGAAATTCCGATAATCTGCAAGTGTTTTTATTCTCACATTCCTTTTAACTTGTCTATTTTGGATTCATTGTCAAAGATAAGAAAAATTAGCATTTCAGATCTATTTTTCATCTACCACAAGTCACTGCCCCAGAGGCCTTTCCTTTCAATATCAGAACTCATCAGTTAGGCTGGATGATGAGAGATAAAAGATTTTCTCAAGTGCTCTTTATCTATGCAGTATAATACTGTAAAATGTATGGTGTAAATTCAAAAATAACCCTATTAGTTTCTAATACTTTACCAACTTTTAGCATTAATTAACGATACATAGTTGGAAAAAAGAAAACATTTCAGATTTAACTTTAGTCAGCAACAAGCCATAGCCCTTATTTTACACCAGAACTTCTTGGACAGGTTGAAAATGGGCAACCAAAAGTCCATATCGAAGCTTTTTCAAGCACAGTACCTATTATTACTATATTAAGGTATCAAATGTCTGAGTTTGTCACAAATGCTTTCTTGCGTTACCATATAGCAGCTGATGTGAAAAGTATACCCTCCACACACTTTCTCTCTCTCTTTTAACAGATTTTTACATTGTTGTACAAATATTTTTTAATTGACTCTGGAAATCTGACTTATATCACTATTTTGAAAGTTAACATTTAGATACATCAAAATGCTTGCTTCTAAAGAAATTTAATAAAAAAGCTGCTTTATGTATTGAGGATAATAATGTTATAATCCAGATTCATGCTGATAAGTTTCAGAGTTAAAACACATTATATGTCTTAACATTATATTTATTGGCTTCATGTGAAAACAATTGTTAAATTGTAAGAAGAAACAAATTTTATATTCATACAACTAACAAGAATGTGAATAGTCTGACAAAGTAAAAATCTCCCTAAGCTGACTTACCCTATCCTTATCTCGAGTCTCCCTGTCCACTGTGGAACCCTATGGGATGAAAGATTTAACCAAATTTTGTTTCAGATCTGACTTTGGCCATGAGAGCAGGAGCAAGCAAACATAAAGGACCACTTCTGGACTACACATTCTACAGGGGACAGACAGCCATCAAACACAGCTGTCTAAATCACGACAACTACAGAACCCACATAAACAAGCTGCAAGCAGAATACTGAGGAGTAATTAGGAAAAAAAAAGAAAAGAAAGAGGAAATGGGAGAAAATGCATTTAAAGAGAACCCTGAGAAATGAATCTGATTCTACACCTAATGAGGAAGAAAACTTTGTATGAATATATACATAGAAAAATTTTTAAGCAAGAAAGTTTTGTAAATTATAACTCAACTTGCTACTTGACAAACTAAAGTTTTGTAATTGCAAAACAAGAAAGAAATTAAACATTAATTGACCAGTAAAGCACATTTTAAAATCACTGCAGAAAAGTACTTTTAATGTTCTTTGAAACAATAAGGTTATTGTTTTGTAATGCACAAAACACAAATTACATATACTATGACCCTATTGTTTTAAGTGTATTTTCTTTATGAAACAAACTTCAGATCATAGGAAAATACACATCTTCACTTGTTGCTGTAATTTACTGAAATAAAATTTTTTTTTTCAACAAGTGCGGCTAAATTCAAACCTTACGTCCAATAAGCATGTCAAAACAAGCACAAAATTTAAGTTTTATTTGAAACTTCAAAAGGATTGTATCCATGAGTTATGAAGAATTCTTTTATTAAAAGCAGTGATATTCAATACAAACAGGAAATACACCAATGAAAGGTATGTGAAGAGAATCATCAGCCAATTCTATCTCATGATTTTGAAAAGAAGTTACTTTTTTCTCACCTTCAAGTCATACTTCTTGTGGATGCTAAGTGGGCTACTAAACACATTTCTCATCACCACTAGATACGTTTCTACTCCATCTACAGTCAGCCTGTACATGCCCAAGTATTGAGGTAACAATGTCTTTCCATGACGTTCAACTATGTACTGCAAAAACATATGCATGTCTTGTAATCTTATATTTATTTAGCAATATAAAAAAACAGCAACTTTATTTCTAATAGTCTCATTAGTATGATCAAAGTTCACATTTTGTTTTTTTCTTTACATTTTCAAAATAGAAAATATAGTGATGGTTTGCTGAACATCTGGTTAAGAAAAGAGCAGAACATGAACTCTGACAGTTGAATATGAACTGGGCTAAATTAGTCTTATTAGTAACAAAGCATTTAGAGGTGGGATAAAGTAGTGTTGTTAGTAACAATGCATTTAAACATTTGAGCTGATAGTAAAATACAACAAAAATATAGAAAACATGCAACTCTGAATAGAATTCTTTATGTGTCATGTAAATGTTAAAATTATTTATGAAAAATAAGACCAAGAATTCAAAGCAGCTCTACAAGAGTTCATGATAGTTTTACAGACACTTTGACTTTTTTTTTTTTAGTTGAGGAACTATAGGAAATCAGAATAAAACAGTACTGTCAGTATATTTGAAATTAAGATAATATATTACTGTTTAAAAGAATGTTCAGTGAGGACAATATAACTATTAACAGTAACTGCATATATGCAATACTTACTGGATGATACTGTTTAAGGTAAACATGCATTTGTTCAACTTCTTCACTCAAAAGTGTTTTGATAATGAACATTTTGTCAAATGATTGATAGAAGTGAGCTCCACTTCGACCAGGGGATTCAACTACTACTGGCTGAGATTTGCTGAGTGAATTCTAGATTAAAAGATTAATACATTTTTTACTTAAGACCAATTTTCCTGAGTATTATTATTCAAACAAGGAGTCCATATTTAAGCAAGAAATACTTTTAAGCATCACTGTGCAATTAACTTTCAAACTTCACTAATGTATTTAAAAAATAACTTTATGTGAGACTAATGTGTTTCTTTTTTTCTCTTGAAATCATATCTGAAACATTTTTATAGTTAATAACAGCAACCTGATGAGATAACTGATCATATCACTAAGCCAAAAATATTAAACAAACATCACTTGAAATTCCCTTCTTTTCTGACAGGCATGATTATTCTTGATTTTAATAAAACAAAAATAGCTTACCACACACTTCAGCTAGGATTATTCAATACCTATGCTTGTTTCTATCTCATAATAAGATCATCCAGATATGCAAGCTGCATTTTACAAACTATGTGTTACATTTCACCAACACTTATTTTATTCTCAAAAATAATATGTTAAACTGTTTACAACCTATATACAAATGTTTTGGTTTGAATTACACAAATTTCTTCATAACTACACAAATCTAAATATTATAGAAAATTAACAATTATTCATCAAGTTATCTTCTGATGTAAAGTGAAAATGCATAGTTTGTTAAATACAGCAATGAACATCATTCAAACAAAAACATCTAAAAACTTTATATTAACTTACTAAAACTAAAACATCAGTGACAGTATTTATAAATAAAACCTGGCACAAAATTATACACTGCAAATATACAAATAATAAGTTGATTACAGCAAATTCATTTTCCTTCAGTAAATATGAATGGTAAAAATAACTTATACAAATACAGACAGACTTCTATTTGTACTCCTTAGGAACATAACTTTTACAAAGTCCTAAAACATCTTTAAAAGAAATTTGGGAGAAATTAATTACATTTCAAAATTAAAGCATCCCGAGCCTATGGGAGAGGAATTAGTGTATATATATACAC